AAATTAATAAAATATAATTATAGGAAAAAAAAGAAACATTAGAACAAATGATGCTGGGTTAATAAATTGCCTCATTCGTAGCCTTAAACAAACAAACAAACAAACCCCAAAATCCGTGCACAGGGAAAATGGGAGAATGCTGTCCTCGGCAGGGACTGTCCCGGGATGGAATAGAATCCAGAGTCAGCCGGGCTGCAGCAGGAAAACCTCAGCTCTGCCCTTCACCATTCGGGGACCTTCCAAGACCCCAGGTTTCTGCCCCGCCAGAGTCCCTAGAGGGAGTAGTCATCTCTGGCTCTCCAGGGCATGCAAGGGGACACAGGTTGGATGCTCAGGGGACACCTGTACTGTGACCTCTCTTTAGCCTCTTCCAGCCCTCTCTCTCTTGCACCAGATGGCAGGATGACTAGTGCATCCTGGTGCCCTGGGACCCCAACCTGGCTTCTCCCCTGAAGACCATCTGCCACCACCAAACCCTCTGAAGGAAGTGGAGGTCCCCATCGTGGAAAACAGCCTTTGTGACACCATCTGCCACAATGGTCTCCACACGGCGGACAACATCCACATCATCCGAGATGATATGATATGTGCAGGAAATGAAGGGCATGGCTTCTGTCAGGTGAGACCCCTGTGTCAACCTCCCCGCCAGCCCTGCCTGCCCCTCGGCCTCTCCCAGCACTGACTCTTCACCAGGGTGACCTCGGAGGGCCCCCGGTGTACAAGGTGAATGGCACCTGGATGCAGGCAGGCGTGGTCAGCTGGGATGATGGCTGTGGCCATCCCAACAGACCCGGCATTTATGCCCACATCACCTACTATTTGGACTGGATCTACTGCCAATGTCCCCAAGGAGCTCTGAGCTGGTGACCAGAGCAACCAGCCCCCCTGCCCCACACTACGGCTTTCTGCCCAAAGGCTTTCTCTGTCTCTTATAATTTTTCCTCCTCAATGCTTCTATCCAATCTCAGGTCCCTTCCCACCCTGAGCCCCTTCCCGTTTCTGTGTCACCTCCAATGCTGAGGTGAAACCCTTCCCCATCCCAAGATGTTTCCCACGTTGAGCATCCTCCGCACCACACCCTGGGCCCCCTCCTAATCCTGAGACCCCATCCCCCACTGAAACTTCTCCCCACTCAGAGCTTTCTCCCCATTCTCATCCCTCCTCTGCCCCAGCCCCTCCCACCCTCAACTGCCTAGGTAGCTGGGGTGAAGGGCTGCTCACCCTTCCCGCCTCCAAAGCATTGTCTCATTAAAGTGCAAGTATGGCTTGTCATGGCACTCCGCAGGACAATGGGATCCCCAAGGAGCTGTGTGTTCCTGTGGGTGCCCTCTCCCCACAACTGACCACAGCACCTTCTCCACCCCTAGTCGACACTGCTTCTTCCATGAGTGGTGCCTCACACTCAGGACCAAGTGGCCGCAGTCAGAGAGAGAGGCAGGAGGCTATCTATCTTCCCGGATGGCCCAGGTCCCCATGCATTAACTCTTCCCCTGCACCCACATAGTCACCCCGTTTTCCCACAGGTTTTCACTCTGGTGCAGATACCCATGTGGAGGGTCTCATATGTCCCATCCCGCAGGCTGATCCTCCCTCCAGATTGTCCTCATAGAGCCCCTCACTGTGACCCCCTTTTCCACACACGTGCTTGCAGTCATGTCCATGCACCTCTCACTGCCCTGTACAATCTTAGAGCGAAACTCGGTCGTGCGCCTCCCTCACTGTCTCTCCTGGGCTTAAATTCACTGCTGCAGCCACTGTGAAAAGCCGTCTCACTAAGGGTCTTCCTCTACTTTTCCAGGATGTCCTCCAGGGACAGGTCCCTGCTGGTAACACGCCCACGGTTGGTGAGGCAAAGGGTCCCCATCTTTGCTTCTGAGGAGCGCCCCGGTGCACTTCCTCTGGGACAGTTTGTCTTCTGCTCCGTTTTGTCACTGTCTCCACACTGCTAGTGGACACTTGGGTTGTTTCGGATTCAGGTTCTTAGGGCAGCCTGCCGAGAGAGTTCTCACGTGGCCCCTCTGCTCCTGTCTGTGGGTGTGCCAGAGCGGGGTGCTGCTGGGCTCCAGGATCATTCTAGAAATTGCTAAACTCCTATTCCTACTGATGGGAGAGAATGACTGTCCCACCACCTTCTCATCAACATTTGATAGTTCAGACTTGGGCTGTTTCGTGTGTGTGTGTGTGTACACTCACATGTGTGGAGATTGTTATTGTTCTTAGGTCCACTTTACTGACTAGAAGTAAGAAACTGTTGAACATTTAAGCTGTTCATACAAGTCCTTAATTAAAGAACAAATGATCATGCTACTTTTGCACGGTCAGAGTACCACAGCCATTTAACTGATGTCACTGGGCAGGCAGTGCCTCTAATACTAGTAATGATAGAGGTGATATTTTTGGTAAACAGGCGGGGTTCGTGTTTGCCAAGTTCCTTTTACTTCTGTTGCTGCCAAGTCAGCCTCAACTCACAACAGCTGCCTCCACCCCACAGGGTAGGACTCTTGCTTCATGGGCAAAGCTCGGATCATTGGAAGCAGATTGCAAAAACCTCTGGGTAGATTTTAACCACCAATCTTTCTGCTAGTGGTTTGCACCACCCAAGCACACCCCATGTGTTTGTGTGATCAGTGTGTGTGTGTGTGTCCTGGGGGGTGCTAGTATTGACTTTTAACTGTTGAATGCATTTTTAAAAAAAATTGTAGGAAGCTCTGGTGGCACAGTGGTAAGAAGCTGCTCTGCAATCTTGAAGGTGGGTGGTTCGAATCCACCAGCTGTTCTGCTGGAGAAGGAGGGGCAAACTCCTCTTGTACCAGTTGGATCCAATTTGATGGTACACCAAATTATAAATAAATATTTTTTTAAAAAATTTTTTGTGCACTTACTTGGGGCATATTGCTAGTAGAGGCTATTTCTTGGAGAGTGACATGATGCTTAGAATGGTTGGAGGGTCAAAGAAAGAAAGGAAGACCTTCGACCAGACGGACTGACACAGTGACTGCAGCAATGGGCTCAAGTGTGCTGGGAATGGTGAGGATGGCACAGGATAGGACAGAGTTCATATGATCATTATGAGTCATAGTTCACTCGATAGCACCTAACAACAATAATAAATGTGATTTCAGTGAAAGTTTACAGAACGGGTTCTTCATTTAGCAGTTCATATACTTAAAAAAATACTGTGATTTGAGTGAAAGTTGACAAAACTTATTGGTTTTCAGCCATTCATGCACATTTTGCTACATAAAATTAATTTCAATACCCATTGTGTATGACCATGCAGTCATTCCATATTGTGGATCACTTCACTCACTTTTCTTTTTAATTGCTTTTCATTCAACCATTCATATACATTATGACTTATCACGTCAATCACAACTGTTCAATGCCTTTTATCACAATGTTTCCTCAAATCCTCACTGTGCCTCTCCTATGCTTTCACCCCACTCATCCGTCCACTAGTCTCTGTTGTTGTTAGGTGCCATCGAGTCGAGTACAACTCGGGCTCAGCTACCCTATGAATGAAAAATCTGAACCAAGTCGTGTCCTGCGCCATCCTCACACTTCCTGACACACAAGAGCCCATTGCAGCAGACACCTATCAATGCACCTGGTTGAGGGTCTTCCTCTCCTTTGCCAACCCTCCACCCTTCCCAACATCATGTCCCTCTCCGAGGAATAGCACCTCCTCCTAGCAGTATGTCCAAAGTATATTAGATGAAGCCTCATCATTCTTGCCTCCAAAGAGCACTCTGGTTGCACCCTCTCCAAGACATGTATCTATTCGTTCTCTTGGCCGTCCATGGGGTGTTCAGTGCTCTCCTCCAACAGCACAGCTTTAAGGCATCAATTCCTTTTCTGTCATCCTTACTCATCGTTCAGCTCTCAGATGAATAGCTAGTAATCAGAAAGACCATGGCCTGAATCAGACGCACCTACTCCTCAATAATTCAGAAATGTCCCTAATTGCAGGTTTTCCCACTGCAATGTGTCTCCTTATTTCCTGACTGCTTGCAGGCTCTATGCCCTAGTATCTTCCCCTCCCACACTTCCTGTCTCCCCTTTTTCCTCTCCCTTTGAACAGCTACCCCTGTCCTGTGTGTGTTGGGATGGGTAACTCTCATTGCTTAGTACATTATGTGCTGGAATGCTAATCAAAAGGTCCACATTCTAGCCCACCAGCCACTTCAGGGGAGAAAGATGGGCAGTCAGTCTCCTGTCAACCCAATGGAGAGCCGCCAGGCATTGAAATGATTCCAAGGCCGGGGTGATTGGTGTGTGTGCACCCATGTGTTTATGTGTGTGTGCCTGTGTTTATGTGCGTGTATGTATGTGTGTTTATATGTGTGTATGTGTTTGTGTGTATGCCTTTATGTGTGTGCCTGTGTTTATATGTCTCTGTGTGTTTATATATGTGTGCTTGTGTGTGTATGTGTGTTTATATGTGTGTACCTGTGTGTTTGTGTGTATGTGTGTACGTGTGTGTTCCATGCGACATTCTTTGGACTCCAGTGCTGTGCAGGCGCACCCACTTTTATCACTCTTCCTTTTGTGGTGGCTGCAGATTCTGCATTTCTTACAAATGGGGGTTTGTAGTCAAACAAAGCACTTGGGGCTATTTTTCTAATACTTCGGTCATTCTTGGAATATTTCAAATTCTGTAATGCTATTGTCCACTCAACAGATGGCAGCAGGGTATGCCCATGACTTCAATAAGAACCAGGAAGCCAAACCAAGCTAGTGACACTTCCTTTACTGTGATAGTCGGGACTCGGGCCCACAGTGTTTCAGAGTGTGTCCATACTTAGAGCAGTTACTCGGAGAGCTCTCCGTAGCAATGCTAAGTTTCTAAGAAGGGCTGTCAGCATTTGTCCCCTGACAGTCTCAGAAGGTCCCTCTGTCTGTGCCTGAGGCTTGGAGCTGGGAGAGAGCTGAGAGGCAGGAGTGGCAGCTATCAGCTGAGACATCACTGTGGGCATACAGAAGGCATCAGGATAATGCCAACCCAGACGAGGCAGCTATGTCACTGTGCCTGTCTGCGCTGTGATGGGTCCATGCGATCGAGGACAGGATGTGGGTCAGGGACAGGGTGGGGAATGGAGGGGGCACTGAGATTCTGGTCACAGGGCCATAAACTACGCCATGGGAGAGTCTGGGCCTCAGACATCCTTCCCAGGAACTCCTAGAAACTAGACTTGTGGCAGACAGAAGAGAGGGATTAGTGTGCACGGGGTGACAAGGGAGGGATTCCTGGAGTGGGTGGCATTGACCTCCAAGCCTGGAGAGGAATAGGGAGGAGTCTTGGGCCACTCTGAGGGTGCCTGGACTCTACCCTGCATACTGTGGTCTCAAGGTGTGACTCTGATTTGGTCACTGCTCTCCTAGGCCTGGGCATCCACTTGGGGATAAGCAGTGTGGGAAGGACCTGTCAATGCCAACTTCCCAGAGCTGACCTCACCCTTCCCCTGCCCTACAGCTAGTGGGAGGAGCCCTAACCCTACGAGAGGGTTAGAGCTCAGATGACTCCTCCCCCTCTGCCCATACTTCACCAACACCATGGCCATCGGGCCCGGTGGCCTCCTGCTGTTCCTGACCTTGCACGGTGGGTGATTCAGTCTGGGGTTGGGAGTGTGGGTGGGGTGCAGGTGGGGTGAGTTGAGGGCAGTAGGGCCCCTGAATTGAGTCTAGGGCTGGTTGGGATGTTCCACTGGTCCCCCCTCAGGCTCCTTGAAAGCCAAATCCTTCCCAGGCAGGGAAGAGGACCCAGGCAGTGTGCACTTGGGACACCTGGACACCAGCCATTCCAGGGGAGCTGGGGCTGTGGCAGGATGTGAGGGTCACCAGCCTGAGAGAGAAAAAAATCAGCTCCCCCAGGTCCTCTCATCCCGGGCCTTTGTAAGAGCAGTGGTACAAAGGGGAGACTGAGGCATGGGTGGAACACCTCTGGATGTCTGATGAGCCCCTTCTCTGAACATCAGGGACCTGAGTTACAGGATGGAAGGCGCCTGGCCTGAGCTGTCTGGCACCTCCCGTCTGTCCTGTTTATGACCATCTCCGGTCCCACCCATGACCAGCGCTGGATGGCAGCTGTTGAGTTCTGGCCCCATCCACCAACTCCACCCATTAGCAGGACCCATCCCCAGCTGCTGTGAAGGAAGTGGCTTCCTTGTCCCCCTAGACCTTGCCTGCTCCCTTGGAACTGTAAGAGAGGGTCAAGCAAGTCCTGGTCCCCCTACTCTGAGCCTCTCCCTCTGTCCCTTTCCCTCAGGTGTCTCTGGGGGAGATCTGCCTGCAGGTAGGTGTGTTGAAGGTGCTGGTATCTGCCATAAGAAGATCCTCCTCAGGCCTGTCATCAGGCAGGTGCCCCTGGGTCTCCAACGTGGTCTCTTTGGCACTCACGGAGGTGGTAAACCTCCACTGTGCAGAGGCTCATGAAGCTCTTAGAGACCAAACCCTGGGCTTGGGCTAGTGCACTGCTTCCAGGGAGCTGTGTCTTGACCCATGACGCCCCTGGGTACACCTCTCAGGCAGGGCCAGCAGAGGGACGGGAGAACATGGGGAAGGTCAGGGAGGGCTTCCTGGAGGAATAGGCCTATTGACTCCCTGCCAAGGACATCTGCTGTTTGGTTCAGGGTGCGGCAGACCCCAGGTTTCTGAAGGCGGGAGCCGCATCGTAGGGGGTCATGCAGCTCGGCCTGGGGCGTGGCCATGGCAGACCAGCCTACGCCTGAGGAAGGTGAACGTGTGCGGAGGGACCCTGCTGAGTCCCCAGTGGGTACTGACCGCTGCTCACTGCTTCTCAGGGTGAGTGTATGCAGGTGAGGGGGCAGCCCAGTCGTGGCAGGGCACTGTGGAGCTCTCAGCTGTCTTTAATGTTGTCTTCTGAGGGCATTGTGGTTAAAGTATCCAAAAAGTCAGAGGTTCAAATTCACCAGCCACATCAAGAGAGAAAAATGAAGCAGTCTGCTTCCCTCAAGATTACAGCTTAGCAAGACCTGCAAGGCCCTTCTACTCTGTCCTAAGGAATCACTAGGAGTCGGCATCAACTCGTGAGGTCAGTGAGCTTAACCTGTGATCTCACATTCCTTTTTCAGGTCTCAGTTTCCCCTCCAGCAGAAAAGACGGCATTTCATCATTTGCTTGATTCCCCGGGACTTGGAGGGCCACACTGGCCAATTGTGTGAGAGGTGTCTACTGTGTATCCTTGCATGCCTCTACAAACAGGCAGCTCACTCCCTCTCCACTGCCTGCTCTCCTGAAATTACCCACTTCCTCTGGGCCTTAGGGATGTTCTGACTACAGCACCTCCAGTATCCTCCAGCTTGTGTGGGGAGGGGACAGGACCTCATAGTCTCACAATCCTTGGGCTGTGGAGGGCAGAGCCTCTTCCAGCTCTCAGAGCTCAGCCTTAGTGCCCAGAGCAGCTGAGGAGGGAAAAGTGAGGTACTGGCTATCATTCCTCGGGACCTGCCAGTGCTTGACTCTGATCTCTGGCCAGCTGGCCACTGTCCAGACCACTCAGCCCATCCTCATCCCTTCAGGTCCCTGAACTCATCTGACTACCAGGTGTACCTGGGGGAGCTGAGGATCACTCTGTCCTCCCGATTCTCCACTGTGAAGCAGACTGTCCTCTATTCTGACCACCCGGGGCCACCAGGCACCAGTGGAGATATTGCCCTGGTGCAGCTCAGTACCCCCGTGCATCTCTCCCCCTGGATCCTGCCCATCTGCCTTCCTGAAGCCTCAACAAGTTTCCAGCCTGGGACTCGGTGCTGGGTGACTGGCTGGGGCTACACCCAGGAAGAAGGTGAAGAGACCCCTCGCAGCCTCCAGCCTAAGTCTATGGGGGTAGAGGCAACCAAGCCCTGCCTGGAGAAAGCTAGGAGGAAGAACAAGGGGAGACAGGGGATCCCTAACAACCTAAATAACCTAGCCAAAGCTACTGTCGATCCTTCATTCACACTAATGTGTAATAACTTCCCACCTCCAGCATGTATATGCTATATTGATTCACACTGTGTTAATATGTTCCTCATCAGTGTGTCTTTTATACATTAATTCATACTAAGATGTTATTGTCTATTTAATACCAATGCATCATGCATTAATTCAAACCAAGTGTCAGTGACAATCCAATATGAATAATACATTAATTCACACTAATATTAAGAAGGAGGAGCTCTGGGGGGCTAGGAGTTGCTCTGTGGTTCAAATGCACCAGCTGCACCACAAGAGAAAAGCAGGCCATCTCTCACCCGTCCAATCTACAGCCTCCAAAAATCCACTGGAGGGTCAGCTATGGTTCAGTTCAGCTTCTACAGTACATAATAACAGCATGCCAGTTACTAATCCCGGTTAAGGGGAGCATTAATTAAGTTCAGAGAGACTTTGTTAATTACAGCACACAATACGGTTAAACGAAGCTCCAAGTTTAACTTCATTTACTGGCTCACCTCTCTGCCTCTGTGGTCATGTACCTTAGCTGAGCTGGTTCAAATGTCTGTGTGGGACCATCAAAATTCCAGCCTTAGAATACAATCTCATATCCTGGGCAAATGTTACTGTTTGTAACATGAGGTGAAAGATACCTTTTCCTCCTCAATTTTTCCCCCAAACAAGAAACCCTCTAGCCCCCAGGCAGTTAGATACCTTTCCTGAGTTAGCATTATTTACTGGGAACAGGTTTTCTTAGCCATATGTGAACAGCACCCTAAGTTTGTTTACTGAGAACTGCATGTAAATTGCCACAAATGGAGACGGTGCTGTGATTTTGAACTCAGTTTGATAATAGATTGATTAATAACTGAATGAGGTATACCCTGATCACCTGGAAAATAGACAGTCTTGGAGAGCTATTTGTCTTCCAGATGCACAAATATAGTGTAAGGATAAAGCAATTCCCTACCAGTCATCTATCTGGCCTACAGACTCTAGGAAAAAAGACCATGCTTGTCCAATAACACCATCAGTGTCCCTAATCCATCAATTCACGTTGATTTTTAAAACTCGTGTCTATCCATCACCACTATGTTTAACAAATTTTTAAACAACAACAACAAAAAACCCCAAAACAAAACACAAAACAAGACCACTGCCTTTGGTTCTGACTCACATCAACCCTCTGTCAGGTTTTTGAGGCTCTTTTTGTAGGAAGAGACTGCCCATCTTTCTCCCTTAAGCAGGCCAGACTGTTGACTTGTTGGTCTAGCAGCTGAGTATTTGGGGAACCAGGGCTCCTTCACCTATCAGTTCACACTGAAGTGCCAAATGACTACCCAGTGAGTATCACACACTAATTCTCATCAAGGTGTCAGTTTCTAACTACCACCAATGCCTATTTCACTAATTCACACTAAGGTTTTAATGTCTATCCACCAGTCAGTCAGTGACTTGTGTTACTTGGTGGCAATGTCATACCTATTGAGTGAGTCACCTCTTCTCCTACACTCTCCAGTGCTAGGGCTCATATTCCCTTTCAGTCAGCCCATCTTTCCTCTGCCCAGAGCCTCTGCTACCACCGTACAACCTGCAGGAGGTGGAAGTCTCTATCGTGGACACAGATGCCTGCCGACAGGACTACATCAGTGAGGACGGCTCCATCCTACCAGATATGCTGTGTGCCCAAGGCCCTGGGGATGCCTGTCAGGTGAGTGTGCTGGGTGTGGGGAGGAGGAGTGAGCCTAAAGTGCGTTGAGAGGCACCCCAACACACTGGCCCCCACTGTTGTGCCCCTAGGACGACTCCGGAGGGCCTCTGGTCTGTCAGGTCGATGGCACCTGGCTGCAGGCAGGTGTAGTGAGTTGGGGCGCAGGCTGTGGTCGCCCTAACCGGCCAGGCGTCTACACCTTCATCCCTGCCTACATCAACTGGATCCACCTCTATGTCCCTCCCTCAGCTGCTCAGGGCTCAGAGCTGGTTCCACCGCAGTTCCTGGCCAGCTTCTTCCTCTTAGGACTCTTCCTCCTCGTCATCTCCTGTGTGCTGGTGGCCAAGCGCTCTCTCCACAGACCCCTCTTCCTATCCCCATCTTCTGATCTTTGACTGCTGGTCACAGGACATCCTCCCTGACTCTTTACAAGGACCTGAAAGTGGAGCAGCACTCACTGGGCCTGCATCTCTCCACATCTCCACCAGGTGGCGCACTCCGCAAAGCAAGGGGAAAGGAAGGTGTCTGCTTGCAGAAGGGAAAATTTACAAGCTTCCTCCCCACCCTTACCTCCATTCCCTTACCTGCCTGGAGATTCGGTTCACTGTCCTGATGTAGATCCTCTAAAGGAAAACTGACCCTACTGACCCTGAAAGAGGCCCCCAGGCATGTTGTTGATTACCATGGAGTTGAGCATCACTCATAGCGACCCTATGAACAAAAGGCCTGAAACCTTTCTGTAAGTATCATCATTTATCAAAGTTCATAGTCTCCCCAGAGGTATGTTGGTTAGGAAGTGGATTCCACTCCTACTTCCAAACCTGTCTTAAACTGGGAGCTCCACCAAGCACTGTCCACCATGGGTAACCGTTACAGCATTTGACACCCCAGTGGTACAAGGTTCAGCATCCCAGCAATCCCAGGTTATAACAGAAGAGTGCTGTACCACTTAAAAGAATGTCCCTCCAAAATATAACAACAACAAACTTTTAAATACAAAGGCCCTCCCCCAGGTCTTGTTGACTCTAAACAAGAGGCTTAAATTAAGAAGAAAAAACAAACAAACAAAAAAAAACCCCAAACAACCCAAAATAGGATGTTATGTGCCACTGAGTCACCTGCAACGTATAGCAACCCTATGAACAGCATCTCTCAACCCTTCCCTGTTCTGAGCCAGTCTCACTAATTCTGACACACCAACCTCCCATTGTCCCAGATACTGTATCAATCCATGGCCTCCAGCCATAGAGAATAAGTATCATGGCCTTGTGGTCTTTGGTCATGGTGAATTCAGGATGTTCTGCCTCAAGAAACCACCCACAAGAGGAGGACAGCAACCCACAGACATAGATCATGGCAGCTGCTAGCCGTCTTTGGGGAGAGTGAGGACCGAAGCCAGTGCTGCCCTCAAGGAGGTGGCTGCACCGGGGAATTGCCAGGCAGGACCACAGGCAGCGGCTGGACCACAGGCAGCGGCTGGACACAGCCAGAGTCCAAGCAGCCTGCAGCATGAGCCCCCAGAGTAGTGTATACTGATCCTTGAGCACAGTACTTCAAAGAACAGTAGAGTAACCAGGAGGGGGAAAAAAGAGGGAGGAAGAGCGTACGTAAACAGGACAAAGATACGGCTGGCTGCATCCAATACAACCCCAAAACCCTCCTACCATGGATTCAACTCCAATTCATGAGGACCCTCCTTTGGGTTTCCAGTGCTGCACATTTTAACCTTTCTCCTGCAGGCTGGTGGATTTGAACCGCCAACATTTTGGTTAAAAGTCCAACACGTAACCCCCTTGGAAATATCACAGGGAAGGCTGTGAGATGAGATGAGATGAGGTGGTGGATTTTGGGGTTTGGATACTCATGGTCAACAGAGGTGTCTTTGGGGTCAACCTGCAGAAGAGGACAGTGTGAAGAGCTGGGCATGCAGCTAAGGGGGTACAGCTTCACCAAAGCACGCTACCTCTCTACAAGGCAACTGGTTACAGGGAGGGCAGATAGAGGGGGACCCTTGCCCCACGCTGGACTGCAGTCAGCACACCACGTTCCTTAAATAAGTTAATGTTTATTCTGCTCCCAAGCCCCTGCCTCCCAAAGCGGAGTGCTTTCTGCATCAGATTATTGCCGCGTGTAACCTGAATTTGAACAGACAGAGGGCATCCTCTGGGACCCCATGGCCCAAACCTGGACGGAGGGAGGACCCCGGAGGCGGTGCCTTATTGCACGAGTCTGCTGCGTCCCAGTGGACAGTTTCGTCCAGACTACCGAAGGCAGAAGGCAAGAGGGGAGGGCATGGAGACGGAGAGGCTGTGTCCAGTGGTGGCGGGTACAGTGAGGACGTGAGGATGGTGGACGAGGAGGTAAGCTGGGCCGAGGCGGCCATGTGGGGCCCGAGTGTGTTCTCTAGAAAAAATATGTGTTCTGTGTGGACAAAGCCCGGGGGGGGGGGGCCCCTGCCTGTCCTATTTGGTCGTTTTGGCTGTTGTCCGACATCTCTCTGGGCTACAGGACAGCTGTCCTCGGAGACTGACGCGCGGCCAGCAAACCCACTCTGTGCCTGGGGTGGGCTGACTCCGGCCCAGAAGCTGCTTCCCGCTTCTCTTCACAGGGAAATGCGCTGTTTCCCACGCTCCTGGGGGACCGATCCTTTCGGCTCCACAACCTGAAGGGGCCAGAGCCGGGGTCCAGCACCCCCAGCCACCCAGTGGCTGATCCCGTGGACGCACCCCAGATCCCAGTACAAAGCCCTTCAAGGCTTGGACCCTTTAACTACACGGGGTCCTCTATGCTCTCATCCAGGGCAGGGGTGGCGGGGGGCGACCTCGGTTTCTTTGGGGGACTCTGAGGAGCCGTGAAGAGTGTCCCCTGCCCCTTCTCTGGAGGATCCCCAGAGGGCACAGGAGGCTCTATGTTATGGGGTTCCGGAGGCAGTGGTAGCATGGCCCCCAATGAGGACACATGAGGTTCTGGGGCCATGTCCTGACTACTATCCAAAAATGGATCCCCACTGGGAGCCCCCACCTCCAGTGGCTCAAAGGCAAAGTTGGGGACAGTCAGGTGATCTGCTCGGGCCACAGCCTGGCTCCTGCGTTCTCCCTTGCCCGAGGGGTCCACCCCAGCCCCTGGACCCTCCGTGGCCTCCAGGGGTTCCCTATGAGGGGCAGCTGGGCCTGGGGAGGGCTCACAGGATGGGGTTCTCCGCCGTAGTGTGGTACTGCCTCCCTCTGGGGCGGGAGGCCGGCCAGCTCCCTCATCCTCCGCCGGAGGTTCGATGGAGATGCACGGGGGACTCATTTTCTTCTTACGGCGCGCACCCAGGGCCGGCTCGGCCTCTGCGGCCTCATCCCGCCCAAGGTCCCCTCCTGACTCGCCCAGCTGCCTCTGACCCTCTCGGGTCAGCCCCGGGCGGCAGCCCCAGCCATCCGCACTGCAGAGCCGACGGAGGGCCCTGTGCGCTGCTGGAGAGGCAGCAGGCGAAGCTGCAGGGCTGTGGGGCTCAGGCGGCCAGGGCCGGGCTGTGCTGGTGATGTGGCGGACCTCCTCATCTGCTGGGTCTGCGGCTTCGTCCGCGCCAGGTGGCCTGCTGGCCATGGAACGCTGTCCGAGTGTGTGCCGGCGAGCACGCATGCTGGCAGGCCTCGGAGAGCGAGGTGGGGTCCTCAGGGGAGCCCCCAGAGTCGATGGCCTGGCTGCAGGCTTCTCCCCAGACTCCCCAGAACCCAAGGCGCTGTCCTGGGAGCTGTCAATCTGTCCTTCCAGAGAGTCTGTGTGGACAGCCTCCTGCAAGGGATGGGGTCTAGTCACTAAATAATCATCTTTCACTCCAAAGAGGGGGCCCCAGCTGGAATAGGGTGGGCAGTGCAGCCCTTCCAATCCCAGAGACCCCAAGAACACTGCCCAGCCACACCAGCACTTTCCACTATCTACAGGGCACTGAGTGGGGCATATGGGAGCCCACCTGGCTGCAGGTTCCAGCTGGGAAGAGAGAAGAGCCCCAGAATGATGCGGCACTGGGCAGGTGCCTCCTTAGCCTGGTGCCTTGAGACTGGGGTTCCCTGCATTACTCTCATCCCCACAGACTACTGAGACATGCCCCTCCAGCCCCACCACTAAGTAGTCATATTTGTCTTCACTCCTGGGATCCTGACCGCATCCCAAACTACAAAGCATAAAAAACTGCAAAAGTCCCTCCTCTGAGCCTCCCTGCAGCTCGCCCCGTAAATGGGGTCAGGGGGTCCTGTAAAGAACATGAGAATCCTATACCTGTCTGCAGAGGAGCCGGTTGAGGCTGGGGGAGTGCGGCGTGGTCCGTGGCGAGGGGGCTCTAAGGGTGTCGTTGGCTCTCCCTGGGGAGAGACCAGCTGGTGTCGGTAGAGACATGGTCTCAGGGGGGACCTCGAGAGCTGCGCAGGGCTCTGTGGAAGGTGTGCTGGTAGAAGGAACAGTGCCTGGGGAAGGAAGGGGTCCTTGTTGTTCAGCCTTCCCACCTACCACTCCCCGGCCACCTCCAGGTCATACCACCCACCCCGACCCTGAAGTCCCAAACCTAGTGCTGCCTCAGGGCTCTGCTCCTAGCCCTGTCCGCAGGCCTTACCCACAGGGCTCCTACCTGAGGCTGCTGCACCTGTGTAAGTCTCCATCTCCACCTCCTGCACTGGCTGAGGGGTCGCAGGGGCCACAGGCCGGAACATGTAGCTGTCATTGGGCAGTGAGAGCATGCGCGACACTGACACCTTGCGCACCACCAGCAAGTTCAGGGCCTCAGGGCCAGTGCCTGGGCTCTCCTAAGGCAGAGGGTTGGCATCACTCCACAGGCCCTTTGTTGGGGGGACCCCATAGCACCATCGCAGCCTGGCTCCTCATGGGAGCCCCGCCCACTATGCCAGCCCCTCCCTTCCGAAATGATCCGGCCTGCCACATCAGTGAGCTACCAATCCAAGGTAAACGCAGCCAAGTCATTGGCCCTTCTGGGGATTCTCCCTCATGCAGTCAAGCCCTTCCTAGGGATCAGTCCACCACGACAGCCCTGCCCCTCCTGGATGAGCACCCCTGTGGGCGAGTGGGTGGTACCGGTGGTGTGGAGACAGCAGGGGCAGTGGCAGTGCCAGCAGTGGGCAGGGAGCGAGCCATCTCCAGCTCCAGTTCAGCGTCCAGTTCAGCATCCTCCCTCGCTTCCTTGTTGCTCTCCTCCAGGTGCTTCATGAGCACGGCTACCACCACATTGACCAGCACGAACTGGGCCACCAGCACGAAGGTGACAAAGTACACAGGCGAGATGACCGGCAGGTAGCTGAGGCAGTGCTTGTCCTCGCGAGCACACTCCCGGAGCGTGTCCTGTGGGCAGCGGAATCTTCGTCTGCTGCGCCATTTCTCTGTAGCCGAGCACAAAGACACCCCACGCCCCCTATCCTCTGAGAGACCACCCGAGTGACCCCTAAAAGCCCCTGTCTGACACTGGGCAGCCCCTCTGTCCTGTAGCTCCTGAGCCACACAATACCTTCATGATTCCATTCCAGTTGTCTCCTGTAGACACGCGAAATAGCGTGAGGAAAGCCATGCCAAAGTTGGTGAAGGTGGCATGTCTGCTCAGGCCCTCACAGGGGTTGTCTTCACTGCAGTCTATGAGGAGACAAGGACCCAACTCATCAGCCCAGGAAAGCTGGCTTGGAACACACAGGAAACCTCATGTAATGTGTTATGGATCCTGTCCCTCTACCCTCCATGTGAGGGAATAGCAGCCTTGCAGATAGGGCCCCAAAGGCCTTATCTCAGTATCCACTTCCTTTCAGAGCCCCCCCCCCCCCGCAAGGGCAGAGCCAGGTTCCATCTGCTGTGCTTCCACTCAGCACCAACCACAGAAAGGAGTGTGGTGGCTGGGTTAAATGGTTTCAGGCCTAGGGCTTCTTGAGTAAACATATCCGGGCTACGATTCATCCTCAACAAACAGCACTCTACTCCCAATGCCCAGACTCTCAGTGTGATGAGGCCAGTCTGGCCTCAGGATTCTGCAGGGATGAGATCTCTTCAAGGTGTGGTCATCACCAAGTTTAGCCAAGCTAGACGTGGCCCAAATAAGCCAAGATGGCTGGAGAGGAAAACTCTAGCCTTCTCAGGAAGGTTGTACAAGTTTTCTCAGCCAGAGCTTACTCATGGAGGCCTCAGTAACAGCTAACCAGACACTCACCAACCATGGTCACCTCCCAAGGCAACCCCTAAGTGGTCCCAGAAACCAGCAAGTGTCAATGACTTGCCCTAGGAAATGCTGTCAGGTACAAAGGACCTAACATAGATTGTACTGCTCCAGAGGGATGGGGACACCAAAGAGGATTCCTCCTCCCTGGCCCCAGAGTGAGTGGAGCTGTAAGCTTGTGGGAAGGGACTGGAAATTCTTGGTGACAGAGAGTAAGGACATGCCAGCGTTTGCTCCTTGGATTGTGGTGGGGCATGCATGTTAGTGTCCGTGTTGGTATGTACATGTTAATACGTCTGTGTTAGCATGTGTGTTTTGGCGTACTCACTGGAGTGTATGCTGGTATGTGAGTGTTAGTGTGTGCACCTTAAAATGTGTGCATATTGGCATGTGTTAGAATGCACTACTGCAATAGGCATGTTAATGTGTGGATGTTTGTGCACTTTTGCACATAAAAATGTACATGTTAAAAACCTCAAACTCAGTACCACTGAGTCAGAGTCAACTCAGAGCTGATCCTCCAGGGAGTTTTAAATTTATAGCAAGCTATAAATTATGTGGAAAGATATTTCTTATCTTTAGCCCTTGGAGCCACTGATGAATTTGAACCACAGGCGAGGTGCCATCTTTGGGCTAGTAGATTATGTCATCAGAGCCCCCTGTTAGCATGTGCATACTGGTTTTGTTATTGCTGTGTACCCTCAAGTCAGAACTAACCCATAGCTGACCCTCCAGCAGGTTTTCAGAGGCAGTTAATCGCATGGGAGGAGATGCCCATCCTTCTCCCGAAGAGCAGCTGGTGGATTTGAACCAAGTGTTTTCAGGATTGCAGTGCAGCTTCTTGCCACCAGGCCACCAGAGCTCCCGTGGTGAAGTGTTGCCTGCCAGCATGTGCATACTATCACGTATGTGTTCATATATGCCTGTTGTCAACTGCATGGGGGGGGGGAGGGTGTTGCCATGTGCACACTCACTCATCCTGTGGGTGGTACAGGCCTGTCTGCATGTCCACAGGTCCATGTCATGGTTTGGGGTCACCTCTCTGTCACATGTGTGTGTGTGTATGCTGGTATTCTGGATCTGTATCTGTGTTGCACCCACTTGTAAGCATTGACAGGTAGGTCTAGGCAATGACACTGGGACAGACACCCCACTGCTCCCTTGCACTGCATACACTGCAACCCCAGGTCCACAATCAGGTCCACTTGAGCTCCAGAGTCTGTACTCACCTAGCCTCCCAAACAGCTCCACTCCCAGGGCAGCATAGATAAAAAACAGGAGCATGAAAAGTAGGCCAAGGTTCCCTACCTACACGGAGAGAAGCAGAAGAGTGTCAGGGGTGGCCTTGGACCCTGCCCACAGGGCACACGCACGCACGCCTGCTGCTGCCCATCAGCGCCAGCACTGCCCTCCCGCCACTCCCCCACTGCTCTCACAGTGTCTCTGCTCCCGATGGGCCTGGGTCAGACCAAAACACAACCAAACCCCCTATACTCAAGTCAATCCTGACTCCCAACAACTGAGAACTGTCCACCTGGTTTCCAAGGCACTAAACCTTTACAGAAGGAAACTGCCTCTTCTTCATTGACTTTGTAGTACGCAGCTGAGCACATTAACCACCGCACTACTGGAGCTCCTTGGGACTCTGAGAAAGGCTTCACTCCAGAGCCTCTCTCCCAGTTGTTCCCCACCCCCTGTAGACCATCTTACTTCCTACAGCTCATCAGGGCCAGCATGTATGTAACCTCTGTCCTAGCCACCCAGGAAGGCCTCTGCTGGTTCCATCCCCCAACCCTGTGCAGGCACTGCCTGTGGCAGGGACAGGCGTATGCTCAGTAGAGCAGGGGTACCATCTTGTGAGTCCTGGCCCACTCTCTCAGCCTTCCTGCATAGTCTGCCCTGTCCATATGCCAAAGTCTGCATGCCCCATCTTTCTTTGCCCTCTTCCCTGAGCACAGCTTCCCTTCCACTACAGCACACTCTAGGCTTCCCCACATGGTCTCCCATCACTCGCAACAACTGAGCAAGATCTTCGGGTCATTCCATCATTAGGGTGAGGGAACATGTCAGGGGTGGCTACAGGTGGAGAATATGGTGGGCTAAGTGGATGCATGAGCCAACAGACACATAAAAAATAGTGGCAAGTGGGTGGGTACATGGCTGAGAGCAAGAAGTAGTGACCAGAGCTGAGTGGGGAGACAGCTGGACGGCTAGAAACAAAGCTGTGCTGGATGCATGAACATGTGTTTCAGTGGATGGCAAAACAGCGGGGCTGTGGGCTGGGTGGTGACTCGCTGGCTGGGCAGGATGAATACATCTGCAGCTGGGTCTAAGGTGTCTAGATGACCGGACAGTTAGCTGCTTGGGTGGATGGCTGGCTAGATGGATGAATGACTGGACATGTGGGTGGCTATCTGGTTGGCTGGTTGGTGGATGCGAGGGTAGCTAGTTAGATGGGTGGGCCCTGGGTGGATAGATGAATGGTTGTATGGATCACTAGTTGGATGGATGGGTGAGTGGATTTGGGGTAGATGTTGGACATGTGGGTGCTGGGGGGCTGAACAGTTGGCTGGATGGAAAGTGGAGTGGCTACCAACTGACTGGCAGCATAGGTGGTTGGATAAAGATGGATCTGGTATGGAGAAACAGCTGGACAAATGGACAGATGGAGCTACAGGTGGCCAAGTGGAGAGATGGCTGGCTTGACATCTGGAAGGTGGCCTTACAGAAGGACTGACTGCTGAACAGGGAGAGGAACAAGCCTCATTTTCAGTTCAAGAGACCAAGGAGGCCCAGGATGGCCACTGTGGGCACAGGAAGTAAAGACCCTGGGTCTGAGCTGACTCCGACAAGGGCGTGGAAGTGGTCCTCACCCATGAACAGGCCTGCCTCAGCCGTCTTTCTGGGAAATCCTTGCAGGCCTCAACCCAATGCCCCAGCTTTCTGTGACCCCCCTGTGTCTGCAATGGACCAGTTGAAGTGGACAAGAGTCATGGATCGTCACTAGGACTGAGGCCTCAAAACCTCACCTACTTCACACCCACATGACTAAACCACATGGGATCTCATGAACAAATGAATAAAAGGTGGCAGTGAGACCAGCAGTGCAGCCTTCTCCCCTCATGTGTGATGCCCACCCTGGAAGAGGGACCCCTGCCTACCTGGGGCAGGGCTTGAACCACCGTGTCCAGCAGTGCCCGCATGCCCACGGCCATCTTGAGCAGCTTCAACACTAGGGCAGGAGCTAGGCATTAGTGGGTAGTTAGGGGACAAGGGCTCTCCCCGATGTACCTTGGGCTGCCCCTAGTATAGTACCCCTATCTCCCTGTCTTAGGCTGCACAGCTCTGGGGAGGGATGGCAAGGACCTAGGAAGGACACTGGGGGCTGATGGAGCTGGAGGAACCCCTCAACACTCTTCCACATTACACAGTCACCAGGGTTCCCACTGACACCTCTGGGGGCACCCAGGGCTCTGATAATATAAGGACTGATGACAGAGGGGAAGCCCCCATGGCCCCGAGGGGAGGGGCGGGCACAGGGCCTACCCCGGGCGATGCGCAGCACACGCATGATGCGGATGATGGTGGGGTTGATGGGCAGTGCAGCGTTCATCTCGATCTCCTCCAGCGTGATGCCCATGATGGACAGTAGCACAATGGCCAAGTCCAGCTGGTTCCACCTGGCAGGCAGCAGGCACAGGGGCTCAGTCTTGGCCACCCCTCCCAGGCACCTGGGGATGGCCCATCACCCTTGAGGATGGCAAAGACAAGGGTTGTAGCCACCTGAGGGTAACTCACCTGTCCTTGAAGAACCGCCGGAACCCAAACGCCACCAGCTTCAGCACTGCCTCGACCACAAAGACGATGGTGAACACATAGTTGCAGTACTTTAAGGCCTCGTCCAGTGCCTGGGGAGAGGGCTGAGCTGGCGGGGAGGTGGCCTGCTGTCCGCTTCCACCTGCTGCCCCTCAGAGCTGACACTGTCTCCCCAGACGGCAGCTCCCTAGTGTCTGACAAGCCTGGCCTCCAAACAGTACAGACACTGTTAAATGTACCACTACCTCTAGGAAAGCAGTCCGATTGCTTCCCCATTCCACCTCACACTTTGGCTCATCCCTGTCTCACTGACCCCAGCACCTCCAGGATACAGTTATTAAAGTGCTTACTGTATTCACCCACCTGCACTAAGCCTGGAGCCCCACCTCCATGAGCTCTCTACCGCCCTCCTGTGACAGCCCTCTGTGCCATCAAGGTGAAGCGGGGTGCAGGCCCAGCCATCTGCTTATCAGTGTTTCCCACATGGGGCCCATGGTTAGGCTGTACCAAGCCAGACAGCCTCAGCTTTGTGCAAAGTGATCCCTTTTTTGCAAAGTTAAATGAAGCTGGGGGAAAGCCTAGGTGGTGTGAACAGTTCAAGCTCATTCACCGTAGGAGACTACCTCTGATGAAAGACCTAGTAATCTACTCTCTGTTAGCAGTCCAATAGTCTAACCCATTTTACCATGAGAACCTGCCTAACCACGCCTTTCATTCAGCAGCCCCTGCCTGCACTGAAGGCTGTAGAGAGCTCAGGGAGACAGCGCTGCAAGCATAACGCAGGCCGGCATAGAGTAAGCACTTAGCTGTATCCCAGAGGTCAGTGAAGAAAGGGGAGCAGCAAAATTGAAGTGGACTGGGGAAGCAATCAGGGAGGCTTCCTGGAGGTGGTGTCACATTCAGTGAGGTGACTTAGGGTGGCACATTTCTGTGTAGTGACTTAAGCCCTGGGCTGATAACTGGTAAGTCAATGGTCGGAATTCTCCCAATTTGTGGGGGGTAGGGGGATGGGGAAAGCATGGCAATCTGTTTCTGTAAAGATGTACCACCTCGGAAACCCTATGGGACAGTTCTGTGCTGTCCTGTGGGGTTTCCATGAATCTGAATCAACAGCAACTGCCACCCAAGCAGATAAATGCACACCCATGTTTATCATGGCTTTGTTCACAATAGCAAACACTGGAAACAACCTAAGTGCCCTTCGACAAATGAACGGATAGAGAAGCTGTGGTATATTCACACAATGGAATACTACCCTGCACTGAAATACAAAGACCTCATGAAATATATACAAAATGGGTGACCTGGAGGACATTATGCTAAGTGAAACATCTCAGTCACAAAAGGACAAATACTGCATAGTGCCACTGTTGAAAAGCAGGACTGACATCGGGGGTGGGGAGACTGAGAAAGATGGGATAAATTATGTATACTGCATTGAAACAGATGAGGGAGAGAACTGTTTAAAATGGATATGTGATTAGGTATTATTGTTATGACAGGAGTCCAGAATGAAGGCTGCATAGTGGTGGAGTGGACTTGGGGGGGGGGGGGACAATTGCATAACAATGAAAGTTTCTTTTCAAGCAGAAGAGTGAATTGGGGGGAGGGAGCGGGGAGGGAGAAAAATGCAACAATGAATGACTGGAAACCCTACGTCTGTAAACTTTCATTAAAATTAATTTTTTTAAAAAGGGATATGGATTAGGTATTATTGTCATGACAGGAGTCCAGAAAGAAGGCTGCAAAGTGGAGTGGACTCGGGGGGAGGGATTGTATAACAATGAAAGCATTTTTATTTTACTTTTCAAAGAGAAGAGTGAACTGGAGGGAGGGGTGGGCAGGGAAAAATGTGCAACAATGAATGAATGGAAATCCAAAGTCTCTGTAAACTTTCATTAAAATTAATAATTGGGAGGGAAAAAAGAATCAATAGCAGTGTGTCTGAGCTTTTGGGTCTGACAGTTTGTTGTACTTTGGAAGCTTCTGTGTTGCTGTGATGCCAGATATGCCACTAGTATTTCGAATACCAGCAAAGATATTCATGGTGGATAGATCTCAATAGCATTTCTAGACTAAGACTAGGAAGAAAGGCCTGGCAAGTTTTGAACAAGCAATCTTCGAAACCTTACGGAGCATAGTTCTGCTCTGACACACATGTGGTCACTTGCTGGTCAGTGTCCTCAGGAGGAACACCTCATTGTTGAGACCCGATCCTTCTATGGGGAAAGGTTTGATTTTTTTTTTCTCTTTTTTTCTTTAATGGGAAGATGAAATGCCAATGTTATTGAAGCAAAACAGAAAGCTAACCCTCTCTGTTCTCGCTTCTTTTTTTCACCCATAAGAATCCAGAGCCTGGAAGCCTCACCTCACTGGGACCACTCAAATGGCCCAAAGACCCCCCCAAAGTGTTACTGATTTAGTCCTTCTCCGGCTGAGGTAGGTCTTGGGATGGGCAGTAGCCCAGAAGCTGCTGCTGCATAATTATAGCGAGACCCTTGGCTCAAGTAAAACTTCGTACAAGAGGTTTCATTCTCGCCGAGTAAGATTTGAGGTTAGGTCCTTACCAGGTGGACTCAGAGCTCAGGGAGGACAGCATTACGGGGCCATGAGACTGTGGTCTCTGGTGAGGGAGTGGGGTGGGGCCTCCTAGGACTTCTAGTAGGGGGGCAGGGTCTTCCCACAGAGTGATTCTCCTGATAAGCAGGATTGGGTCTGAGGGGAGGCAGTGGCAGGGCTTCCAGCAGGGTAGCAGGGGGCTTCTGGCGGTGGGAGGGGCAGACATGGAGGGGAAGGCGGGTCTCCCGTAGAGCCCCACCTTGGGCTGGTCGTAGTGTTCCATGGACATGGTGATGACGTTGACCCCGATGATGAAGGTGATGAAGAGGTCGAGGTAGTGGCTGGTGCAGAGCGAGTGGATGGCGCGGCGCGTGGGCGAGTAGTCAGCATAGTAGGGTCGCCGCTGGGCCTCTGCAGGGAGAGGCACCGTCAGGCCCTGCCTGCCTCCCCCCAACTCCAACTAGGGGGGTAGAAGAGGGAGGACCTTGCCTGTGGCAGCTCTGAGAGGGTTCTGGGTTCTACACTGAGTGATCACGGCCTCGGGCACGAATAGGGGGCCTAAGGAGCCTCCAGACCCTGCTTGCCTTGTAGAACATGCATGAGAGTAGTTCTCTGGAAGGGGATTCTCCTAGAAAGAGGAGTTCCCCAGAAAGTGCAGATGGTGAGCAAATGTACCAGGGAGATGGACAAAGAATGGCTGTAGGCCTGGCTGACCTATTGACCAATCCTCCATTGTCGGGCCTGAGGCACGGCCTGGGATCAGAGATGGTTTGCCAACACCTGTCAGGGTCTCTGTCATGGAGTCAGGGCCTCCTCACCTGGCACTCAGGGTTTGGGACGACCTTGCCCAAGAGGAGCAGGCAGGTAGGTAAGTGCTACCCCTACTCAGACCAAAGCCAGGCAACTTGGCCCCTCCCCCTCCAGCTCTGAAACCCAGAGGCCTCTCTGAGGAGGAGGAGGCATTTCCCCTCAGGACCAGATTCCTTGTCTGCTCCCTGAGGATCAGGGAGGGGTCTGTCATCTGCGGTGTAGGAGACCCCAGGCCACTGGAGGCTGCACACCTGACGGGGTGAAAGGACCCCACATGTGGTCCTGACTTGTGTGTGCCCTAGTGCCCTCGGCTCCCCCTGCGGTGCCCCCTCAGCCTGCTAATGCCTGACAACGCACATATGAGGGCATCTGCGGTGGGCGAGACGGTTGACAGTCACGGGGCCAGCCTAGGGCTTGAGTGAGCAGGGGCTGATGGGAAATAACCCCCTCCCTGCTGCCCATCCAGCACAGCCAGAGGCCTTGAACGGACATGTGCCTTGAGCCGCATACAACACTAGGAGCAGAGGGAGACTGCAGAGAGAACATAACAGTGGCAGGTAGCCAGCAAGTGCAACATGGGTGCAAGCTAGATAGGGGAGGCTGCATAGATAGAGGTAGGTGGACAGCAGCAGGACACCCCCATCCCGTCCCGCAGTCAAAAAATGCCCAGGCCAGCAAGGCAGCAGCCCATGCAGTGCCACGGCCAGCAGACAGAGGCAGGCTAAGGCATGCAGGTGGTACCTGGGATGGGGAGCGTGCCTGGAAAACAAGGAGACGTCTGAGGGTCGCTGGCAGGGACCCTGCCCTGCCCTAGAAAGCCCCCTGCCCCAAGCCGTGCAGACCTACCCTTTCTGAAACCTCCATTTGTCTGGAGGAAGGCCTGCTGGTCCCCAGGGGAAGTAAAGCTGCTCCTAGGAGCTGGGTGAGTGGTGGTTTGGGGACCAGGACTGACCCTGAGGGGATCTGTGTCCCAACCTCTGGAGGCCTACCCTCTCTGGAACCCCCTCGGTCTTGAAGGAGACCTATTGTTACTGATAGGTGAAGCTTCCCCTGGGGGCCAGAACAAATTATGGGGGTGTCCGTTCCCCAAGCTTCGTGGGCCCACCCTCTCTGGTTCGGGGGGTAGACCTGCTGCCTCCAGTGAGGAGACTTCTGTGGGTGGCATTGCCCCTGGGAGCTGGGGGCCCGAAGTGGCCAAGGAACCCGAGTTCTGAGCTCTGAAGGCCTGTCGTCTTTGAAAGGCATCTCAGGGGAGGTTTGATGGCCCCTGTGAGGCGGCCAACTGGGAGTGATGTCGGAGGCCTCAGCACTGGCCTCTCTTCAGACTCCTCCTCCATGTGGCCCTGGGGTGGACAAGGGCGTGCAGAGCCATTCACAGAGCAGAGCAGGTGGGGTGGGCAGGTGAGGAGACTGCGGGCCAGTGGGCGCGCAGGTACCGACCCGCCACCGGGGGCGCCTTACTCCGTCGCCTCCGCTCCAGGCGCCTGAGCCGCTTCTCCTCACGCCGACGGGCTTCTTCTGCCTCCTGGTGCTGACGGCACTTGTGGAAGTTCTCCACCACCACGCCCACGAACATGTTGAGCACAAAAAAGCTGACGATGAGCAGGAAGGAGATGAAGTACAGCAGCATCCAGGGGTTGTGGTTCTGTACAGGCTGCGAGATAGAGCTCGTGGGTGCCTGCAAGACACAGGCTGAACGGCCAAAGCTGGACGCTAGGGCACTGGGGCTCTCTAAGGAAGGAGGTTCCCCCAGGACAACCCACCACAACCCCAAGAAACATGGGTCTGAGCCAGGGGCATGCAAAGAGGGGTCCACCCGCCTGCCTGTGGCACCTGCTGGTCGATGCCCACTGCATCCAGCCCATCGTACATGATGTTGACCCAGCCATCCTTGGATGAGAGGACAAACAGGGACATCAAGGCCTGGGGACAAGAGTAGAGGATGCTGATCGAGGGCCAAAGCTGATTCCAGCTCCCGCTGCCAGTATCTTCCCTCTGTGGCACTCAGACACCCTAAATGGGGCCATGATCCTTCCCTCGGGTGAGGATAAACCCCCAACTAGCTGCATCCTCAGCTCCAGGCATTAGAATGTACTTGTTCCCATTTTACAGATGGGTGAGGAGTCCATGTGGCCTAGCAGAGCGGTCAGCGGTTCTAGCCCACCAGCTGACAGATGAGCCAGTATGCTCTCATGAAGGCAGACACTCTCAGAAACCCTCACTGGAGGGTCACAAGCTAGAATCAACTTGACAGCAGTAACAAAGGTGAGACTAGAGATCCCAGGTGTACTATGGTTAAGGAATTTGCTAACCAAAATGTCAGCTGTTTGAACCCACCAGCTGTACCATGAGAAAAAGATGAGGAAATCTGTTTCATCAAAGATTGAGCTCAGAGAAGGTCGTGGTCCTGGTTTTGAGCACAAGCCTCCAACCCCCAGCCAGGCCATTACAGCCAGGGCCACACCCACCTGACCCAGGTTGTCGAAGTTGTACTTGCGGCGCACCCAGCGGTAGTGGGCAGCGCGGCACTCCGCCTTCGTGGAGATGTTCTTTGTGTCTGAACCCTCGCAGTAATAGAACTTGCCCTTGAAGAGCTGACCAGGGAGGAGAGTGTCACACGGAGGCCTGAAGCCCTCAGAGTGCCCCCTCCCTGCCATGATACTCTGTGAGGACCACACGACCGCAGAGAGGAGCTGGCAATCCCCACCTGCACACCCAGGATGCCAAAGATAATGAAGAAGGCACAGCAGATGAGGACGATGTTCCCAATGGGTCTGAGCGAGGAAATGAGGGTCTCCACTACCAGCTTGAGTCCCGGGGCACGGCTGATGACCCTGCAGTGGAGGTTGGAGGAGGGGATGCTGCTGAGATGGCCAGCAGGGAATGGCAGGGATGTGCCCACAGGAGCCCCGCCCACCTACCCACCTAAGGGGTCGCAGAGTCCTCAGCAACCGCAGCACCCGCAGCACGCCCAGGATCTTAGCACCACCAGCCGATGCCATGGCCACCACAATGTCAGCCAGGGACACCAGGACCAGCAGCCCATCCAGCACGTTCCAGCTGCTCTGTAGGTAAGCATGCTCGCCCGAAACCAGGCCCAAGGCCACCACCTGCAGAAGCAGGACAGGCCTTGAGCGTCACAAGAGCGCTCCAGGTGGGCAGAAAACTGTCTCAGCACCTGTCCCCCTCCCGGGCCACTGTTACCTTCACCATCATCTCCACCACAAAGATTCCTGTGAAGATATAGTTGGAGACACTGAGGAAGACGCGTTCCTGTGGACAGAAGGTGATGGTCGGGTCAGGGGCTGAATAATGGGGAGTGCAGGAGAGGAGGGTGGGGATGGGGCAGCAGACAGGGGGTCTGGGTGGTACACAGGACTCAAAGAGTGGGCAGGGGCCTGGGGTGGTGGAATAGCCGGGGTGGTGAAGCGGGGCCGGGGTGGTGCACAAGGTTTGGACAAGGACAACGGACGTGATAGAGTAGGGTGCTGAGATGGTGAGCAAGTCTCAGGCACGGGGCAGGGCTGAAATTGGGCCACTGAACAGAAGCTGAAGCTATATGGGGCAACAGGCAGGGCCTAGTGGAGATCGGGAGGTGGTAAAATGAAGGAGTCAGCAGAACCAGGGTGGTTGGTGAGCAGGGCAGAAGTTAAGTAGGGGTAGTCCAATTGGTAGAAGCAAATGTGTGACTTGTGGGGACTGTTGGTCAGGGCTGGGTGGTGAGCAGGACCTGGATGATGGGCAGGACCACAGCAGGGCAGTTGGCCAAGGTGCAAGGGACCCCAGGGTAGTGGGAAATGCTGGCGCTGGGCAGTAAGTGTAAGGAGACTATGTGAGTTGGTGACTAAACAGTGAGCAGGGCCAGGGCAGTGTGAAACCTAGAACCCTGGCTGGGGCAGCACAAATGTGGGGGCAGAGGGTGGAGCTATATAGCTGGAATCAAGGAGGTGTGAAGGTGGAGAAAACAAGAGGGGGACAACCAGAGTTGTGAGTCAGGTAGAGATGACCTGCCATCAAAGAATGTAATGAGCAGAACTAGACAGTAGGTGGAGCTGGGGTGGTGGTGTGTGGGTGGAGGCAGTGAGCGGGTGGGGTCTGCGTGCTGGGAGGGGCTGAGCGGAGCCAGCTAGGAAAGTAGTGGGCGGGCTAGATAGGAGGTGGAGTCAGAGTGGCAGGTGCGCGGGTGGGGTCATGTGTTAGGCGGAGCCTGTACACTGGGCAGGGTTGAGGTGATGAGCCCTCTGAGAATGTGGTCGGTGGGACTGGACAG